CTTCTAACACTTGAAGATTTCACAAGGTTCTTTTCTTTTTCTTCGCTTTCTTCTCTATCTTCCTATGGTTTACACTGAAACTCTCTGCGGGTACTTAAAGATCTTTCCTTCCTATTTTGAATTCCTATTGATTAGAATTACTAAATTATAGTTGTATGCCAGTCCAAAATCAACTTTCCGCTCAAGTCAAATCAGCACTTTGACTCTCAATTGTTTGAATGCTAGTCATAATCAACAGTTTCAATAGGTATTAATCTAAATGTTAACCCTCTATGAGTTCCTGGCAGATTTACTGCCTAGGTAAGTATGGAGAAGGCCACGTAACAGAATTAGAACCTTAAGGGATGGCTTAAGCATATAAACATTAATGTTGTCAAATCCCTAATGTCAATCCTTGAGCTTTCTCAACCCATTTACATCCCCATTTGGGTTACCCTACAGCTAAACTGGAAACTAATCCCATTTCCAGTGAGTTTAGGAAATTATGATCAAGCCTGAATAAATGACATTATATCATACTTGTGTCCGTCCGAGGTTCAGTCTGTTTGATTTATTCTAGATAACTTGCCAAGTCTCACCGTGTAGTCTCTTTTCTCGCATATGTATGGAATTTCATATTTCAGAATACATATATGCACTAATATTGATATCCTGAAAAGGTTTATAATGCACGCACATGGAAATGTTTTCAGGCCGACTAGTGGAGGCATCATCCATGACGATGTAGAAGCAGCCTAGGACGGTCACATGTTCAAAGAATACTGCAGTCATACTAATTATACAGATAAAATGGTTCACATTTTTTTCCCTTCCGCTTGCGGAGGACTGAAGTTCGATGTTCATTGTTTTGGCTACCTTGACACTCTTGATGATTTCTGCTAGAAATGATATCTTGCTCCCTGTAATTGTGAGCCAGCCTACCGAAAGTTTTCAATGGAGACATCTCCCTTTTTAGTTTGCAGAGATTCAAGGATCCTGTTCTTACTTTACAAGAGCTCTGAATTTTACGTTTTTGGAAGATATACAGTGTTCACTCATATTGCTGTGAGTCAAAAGACTGGTATATGTAGATATTTTTGTAGGTATTGGATCATTAAGTATACATTGTAATGTTTCACAATAGCCATGAGGAAACAATAAGTCTGCTTGCAAACTTTGTTAAATTCAATTTCCAAGGCTTTTAGCCTTGTTATTTATACTGTTATAGTTTCTGTATATAATCTGAAATCATCGACATTGTTTTCTTGCACCATGAAAATATTATGTTGCAGGTTTAAATCTTACCTTTAGGTGCTTCACTTGCCTTAAGACATGTGACAGTAAGCCCTTTTTTTTCTTTCTTTTTTTTTCCTGTTTTGTGGGCAGTAGATTGTGTAGTAGTCTATTATTCTTTGAAACATATGAAAATGTATTTTCCATTAAACAAATTTGTCGAAATGGCTTCTCTTTTAGCTGTTGGGCTTCAAGTTGGGAAACAGGATTGTAGATCAAAGAGTGCTTTGTGGAACAATATAGGAAGAGAGTCAGGAGGTTATCTAGGAGAAATCTATTCCTGTGTCTTTGTTTCATCTTTGATCCCTGTTCATCTCTGCCAGTGTTTCACGCCCTTACTAAACCAAACTAAACACAAACGTTTCCCCTCCAAATTTACTAGAATTGAACCCTCCAACCTTTCTTATTCTTATACGTAGTTTCAACAGTATCCTCGATTCTCATATGATTGTATCACCCCCTTCATCGTGAATCTGAAGATACTAACAATGATTCACACAAGAAACAAGTACTAAATACAGTACATAATAACCTCACAAGGCATCAATCACCTCTACAACTTCTCCGGCAACTTCACATCCGGGTTCCTCATCGGCTTCAACCACATATCGGCCATTACTCTCGACGACACGCTCACACCGCTGCCGGCTTCTCCTTCGCCTTCATGGCCCGTGTCTTCCTCCTCCTACCCGCTCTCCCCTATCCCGTACGCCACCACCCACTGCATCGCCGTCAAGCCTCCCCCCTCCCGCGTCCCACCCGCTCCTCCTCCCTCCTGCAGCCGTCCTCATCTTCATCCCTCCGCGTGAAGCTCGCCACCTTGAACCGGTCGTCGCCGCCTCCGTCCTCAGCCGCTCTGCGCCTGCACCACCACAATCACTGGCGCTCCTACCGTCTCGTACCGCCGTAGACGGGTCCGCAGCTGCAAGCCACAACCAGCATTGTGACTGCGGAAGCGTTGTTATCAGAGGATTTCACCCATTCATCAAGCGACATTGCAGAGTCCAATGGGGTAGAGGTTCCAACGAGAGGAGATACGTCAAAGGGTGGCTCTTCGTCGGTCACCTCTGCTTGGATCTTCAGCGCCTCGATTGCCATTGCCTCGATCTTCTGCAGTGAGAAGGGAAGGATATCCTCCACCCCCAACGGCTCCTCCTTCACGTTCCAGATTCCGGTTGATATCCTTTCCTTTCTTCCGTGGCTCATCGCGGATGACATAATCTTTAGGGCCGTGACTGATTTCGCTGCACTAGAGCTCGCACCTCCCGTGCTCCGCCCGGAGATGATCGCCGATGCGATCCCTTCGAATGCTATTTGCTCGGCTGTCTTGCCCATAAGTTCGTCCATGGCCGTCAGTGAGTCTAGTTTCGAGCTCAGACCTTCCGTTCCTACTGCCGCGAGCTTCTGAAACACTTCAATCCCGCTCCCGAGCTTCTGATCATTGATGATAAACGGTCTTGATACTTGCATTGCAAGCTTCGGAGTCTCTTTCCGTGATACTTTGGTGTCGAAGGGATTCATCGCCGTCAAGTAGCCTCCGTCTCGGGTCTGAACCACGGCGCCAAGCCCCTTTCCTAAGTCCGAAAGAAAACATTTCGCTTCACTGTCTTCTCCATCACCGGCTTCTGGCCTCATGGGCGTTGCAAGATCAGACGAGTCAAAACCTAGCCTTTTGCCGCCCTCCAACTCGAGCATCTGAAGGAACTCTCTCGTCACAGTTTCTTCCTCGGCATCAAGTTGCTTGTTACCATCTTCTTGATCCGTCTTGATAGAAGAATCAATAGTCGCGTCGACGGCCATCATTGACTCGAGAGCCTTGATCTGCTTAGCAATGGCATCGAGCTCAGTCAGTCTGGTCATGTGTGCGCTGTCATGCACGACTTCCTTCACGACCTCGCTCGAGACTGAAGCTTCGTCGATGGCTGACTCCGACTTGGCTTCTACCTCTTCTTCTTCCTTCTTTTGTTCTTGTACCTCGACCCCTTTGTCGATGACTTCGAACAAGGGAAGGTCGAGATCTTCTTGCTTCTGCTCCGGTTCGAGCTTCTGAATCGATGTAGAGCTCACTGTAGGGGGAGGAGAAGGGCCAGGCTCGTCGAGATTGAAGTCATCAATTCCCCTCAAATCCATGCTCGCTGACTCCTTGATAGGTGTCCGTGACGGCTCCGATCGAGTAATCTTCGGACTCGAGACGCTGAAAGAAGACTTCGACTGTCGTCGAGCAAATGATGATGACGAAGGAGAATCTCCGGCTCGGTTCTTCGATGGACGAGCCCCTTCTCCTTGCTTATAAATCTCAACACCACCATCCTCCATAATCTGAAATCCTAGCTTCACAACCATTTCCCCTCCTTTCGCCTTCCCGGCGAGCGGAAATGCAGCATCCCATTGCCGGATTCTCACCCCTTCCGAGTTCCTCTCCATCGACTCCTTTACCATCGAGCTCAGATCAACTGAGCTCCGACCAAAGTCAAGCTCGGGTGCATCGATGGCCACAGCTGAGATCAGAAAAGGGTGGGGCTCAAACTTGGGGGGCTTGCCTGAGCAGTACACATGGCACCTCACGAAGAGGGTCTCCTCGAAGTCGGCCGATCCCTGGAGGACTCTCGCTGGCATGGTCTGCACAGCGCCCTCCTTGGTCCCCTTCTTGCGAACGGTCACAGATAGACGGAGACCATTCATGGACGCCGGTAGGCCTTGGATCGCGACCACTTCGACGGAGAAAAGGCAGCCCATGCGTTGCATACCGATGCGCGCCAGTGCCCGTAGTGGCTTCCCATATCCCCTTCTTCTCTTCATTCGTGGCCGCGAAGGCGACTGGCAGACCGTTCTTGGAGAGGCGACGATCACCGTCATCATCCTCTGACGCGTCACGTGATTTTGTGCGGGAACGGAATGGGGACATCGACATGCGGCGAGAGCGAGGGCGTTGGTTGGAGACGACCGGGACATCGGCAGCAGCAGGGACCGGTCTGTCGGATGCAGCTGGAAACGGGTTGACGGTCGGAGCAGCGGAACGGGGGAGAGCGAGGGAGGCAGTCCGGCGAGCCGTATGGGATTGGTAGAGGGTCTGACTCAGAGCGTCGAGCTCTTGGAGCAGCTGTGAGTTCGAATTCCGGCGACCTGGTCGTTGTTCCGCCATTAGAGAAGAGAGAAGATGATCAGATAGCAGGTGCTGGAGTTGTGGTGGAGTGGAGTAACGAGAGAAGAGATGTGAAGGAGATAAGAGAGGAGTTTATTGGCTCAGAAGCCGCCATTGAGGGATGAAATATATGGATGAGGTTGGTCGAAAATTATGGCCCTGGTTGATTTTTGGCGCGAGTTCTGACAGGGAGTTGGTCGCTTTAACTGCCGTTCAAAATTATTTACACTGTGGGAGGTGTACATGTGCTGAGAAAGTCATCGTACCGTGTGGGTTTCGGATCTTCCACGTATTTGGATACTTGGATGTGGGTCCTAGAAGACGTAGTTGCCAACTTAGGTACCGTTTGGCAAAGGGTTAAGTGAGGGGTTAAGGAGACTTAACATTTTTTTAACCCGGCAAACATAAAAAATCTATACAATAGTTAAGGTGAGTTAACCCTCCATAATTTGTCAAATATAAAAAATATAGAAGGGTTAAGCTAACCCCTCTAGAGGGATTAAAATGAGTTAACCCTTCAAAATGAGGAAAAAATATAGAAGGGTTAAGCTAACCCCTCTAGAGGGATTAAAATGAGTTAACCCTTCAAAATGAGGGGTTTACTAATACTCCTGCTAACCCCTCTAGAGGGATTAAAATGAGTTAACCCTTCAAAATGAGGGGTTTACTAATACTCCTATTTCAAAGGATTTAAAGTTAACCCTTCTATTTATAAAGAAAATAGTCAAAATTATTGTTATTCCCAAACACTAAAACTGATCACAATGGCTAAAATAAAACCTATTTAACGGGTTAATAATTTTGTCCTTCAGATTATCAAATGGGCTAAGTACATTAATCATTTTTTTAACCCCTCTTTCTTAACCCTTTGCCAAACGAGACCTTAAGTCATAAAATAATATTGCTTACATTTCCTCATGTCACAAAGCCTTGAATTAGATAAAGGAAAAAAATGAAAGATAAATATCAAAAGTTTAAACCAGGGGGCAAAAAAAAAAAAAAAAAAAAAAAAAAAAAAAAGAGCGGGGGGGAGCACGCTTGTGTTGATCTCACAGAGGTATCTCTGTTGGTGGGGTTTGGTAATGGAGAGTTCAAGGTTGGACATGTAGCGGATAGAGCAGCAGAGGCAAAGGTGGGCAAACATGATCAGGCTTGCAAGGACAACCACCACAACTTCATCATGTTCGCTTTCGATACGTTTGGTTTCCTTGAATAAGAATGTAGCGACAGCAGGGTCCGCTGAGTACGTGTTTCCTAGGTTGGGTTTTGCAATTCAGAAATGATTAATGTCGCAGCTTGTTGTTCGCTTGTCATCATCACATGTGTAATATTTCTGGCTTTTAAAATAATAATAATAATAATAACAAATAAAAAAACAAAAAACAAAAAATAAAAACGACCAGATCGATCACAGTTCATCTTCTTAGAGGAAGAAAAACGAAAATTAAGTAATGATCAATATGACAAATTGTATATTTTGGCGACCCTATATTACAGATAGCTATATTTTCTTATTTTGGCGATAACTTAGTATATTATGTGGACTACGGTGACAAATGAGCCTTTTTTTTTTGCCAAAGTTAAAATTCTAGCCAAATTGAGTCACATGACTCCTCACTTGTTGCTAACATTGTTGCTAACATGGCAATAGTTGGGATCATTCAATTTGATGAAATGGGTTTTTTCTCACATTAGGGCCCAAAAGTTAGTGTTCAAATTGGGAATTTTTTATTCTTCTTCCTCCTAGTGTTAAATTGCTTAGGGCAACTAAAGTTGGAGATGAATTCTTCATTATCAAACTCTTGCTCAATGTCACTTTCAAGCATGAGCATGGAAAGAAGCAAATAAGGGCTCCACGGGATGAAAAACCCTAGCTTACACAAATCAACCGGATTGTAGCAAAATCAAGATTTTGAACCGTAAGTAACACTAACTGTTTTAATTAACCAACTATTTCCTCAAATTATTTTCAAAATTTTGAACTCATCTTTTGCACCTCATTGTAGCTGATGTAATAACCCTAATTCTCTCTTGCCCACATAAGCCCACATAAACCACGTCTGCCGCATGTGAGAAGACATGTGACTCAATTCGGCCGGAATTTTTGCTCCGGCAAAAAAATAAGCCTATTTGTCACCGTAGTCCATGTAATATGCCAAATTATCACTGGAATAAAAAAATATACCAATTTATCACAGAGGGTCAACAAAATATACCAGTATGGTAATTCTGTCTTTTCTCTTCTTTAGACTTTTTTTTTACAAAATCGATCACAAGAAATGTCTACATATTTCAAATGTTTTGTTCTCTCAACATTCACCTCACAAGCCCTAACACAGAACGAAGGAAACAACAACTGTGGGGGAAAACATAAAAATTGGGCAACAGAACTGTACATGATCAAAATCCTCAGTGAGCTCCTGGTGCATCTCTCATGCTTACATTCAAACTATTCCTCATTGTTCGTCTGCCGATCCCCATATGCCCGATATTGCCCTTTCGCATCATAGCAACAAATTCTCCGTAGTCTATTCGACCATCCTGAGACAAAATACAAGTATTATCAGGGCAAAGTTCAACACTGCAAAGCTCAAAACACGCATTTTGCATCTATGTAACTGCAAGCTAGTTATGATAGAGCAGCAGAACAAAATCTGGGGTTAATTTCAAGCTAGTTATGAAAGCAGAAGCAGAATTACTGCTTACATTATCCTGGTCAACTTCTTTGATGATATCTTCAAGAAAAGCATCGGTCATGTTGTGTTCTTGACAAGCATGTTGAAGCTCATCCACCGTAATATAACCACTCCCATCCTTGTCAAAATAGGAAAATGCTGCCACCAAATGTTCTTCGCGTTCCAGCTTGTTTAGGTGTACTGTGGCAGCAATGAATTCTCCATAGTCGATAGTACCACTGTTGTCTATATCAGCCTGAAGTAAGTTGAGCAGTCAGTCAAATACAGCACCATCACATTCTATTAATTAATTCCACATACTTGGACACGTCTAAACGTCCATACACTTCAACGAACATGAGGCAATTTTCAGAAAATACGCAAATGTTGTAATACCTTCACAAATCAAAAGTAATATCAATGTACATCAATATAGAATCCATGTAGTAATACTGGACCTGAGATGCAGTTCAAAAAGAGTTTATTTCTTGAAATCTAAATGTCTTCAGCTGCTTAGCTTGATAGATAATCAGAAGACCTTTTTACTTATACTCTTCAAGTAATCATTACTTTCCAGTGAGTATTTACGTGCCAAAGGTTGCCAGCAAAGAAATAACTACTCAACATTGAAAAACGAACCTCAATATCCACCTCCTATCTAGATAGGAATGGCATGAATTATGTGCATAAAAGGAGAAGTCATTTACGCATCAAAAGATATCAATATGCATACATCCATCCACGATCTCAAATAAAAATATCTTAATCCAAATATTCCAAGGGAAAAAACAAAAGTTGAATGTTGAGTAGCATACATATATAGATTATGCCAAGCAACAGAATCTTAGTCTTCATCTAAAGTTGCTCATTAAGTTTAAAAAACTAATAAGAACAAATAGCCTTCAAACTATCTTTATGCAGAAAGCAATTTGCCTCAAGTAAGAATTACTAAAAGATCTGCATATACAAATCTACAACAGGCATTGTTACATATCACGTTATGTTATCAAAATTATGAGCTTACTATATACTAATCATTTTCTTAGGTGCACTATTGAAATTATGAAAACACATTTAAAAGGTCAAGTAGCCATTTACTGCGAACATAACTGGGAGAGAAATCACTTACCGCATCCATGAGATCACGGATCTCCGATTCTTTCAAAGTAGAACCATATCTTTTCAGACCCGCTTTCAGCTCATCATATGTAATTGCACCACTGTTGTCTGTGTCCATTGCTTTGAACATTTCCTTTAATCCAGCGATTTCCTCCTCTGAAAGACTTTCAGCTATTACCTGATAATTTGACAATCATTAGAACCCATGAATTCATTAATGGTGATATTTTTCAGATAAAAAGTTCGTTGGTGGGAATAATATTGGAAACATAGAAATGTAATCTATAGAAAGAGATGCTCTACAAAATACATTGTATATACAAGATTAGCCCATCTCATGAAAAAACTAAATTAAGTTAATTTAATAGTCTTATAACTAGGTACCATCTTTAATGCCCAGACGAATTCATTTCTAAACAGATAATGAAATACATAACACAAGTAATCCATTATTAAACATGTACATTCTCTACAGTTGAAAAGTCTTACTAAAAGATGAAAGAAAAAGTCTTCCTAAAAGATTAAACAGTTAATCTTTACTTGCTTAAAAGAATTTGAACTTACTCGCAAAGCCATCTTCTTCAGCTTATTCATTGCTGAGAATTGTTTAAGGCGAGAGAGAACTGCAGGATCTAATGCCCGATCAGGAGCAACTCCATTCTCACATATCCAGGGATGACCTGAGCATGAAAATAAGCAGCACAAAATAATGACCCTTTTTCAATGTTTTTGAAGGGTGGCATTTTTCAGCGTATAAAACTTTACACCTTCATCACATCTAGAAAGAAGCAGTTCTGATTCAAAAAGTGCAAGAAGATCGAGAGCAATCTCGTAAAAGCCTAAAAGACTGGCCAAAACATTCTCTTAGTTAAAGAATATAACATCTAGTATCACAAAGTATGGATAGAGCCAAGGCAATGCATAAATAAAGGCCCAAGCTTCTTTTGTTCTAATCTGTTATCCTGACATTTGGCATAAGTGAGTTTTGAAATGCTGATCTTCAAAGTTGCACTTCCCTTGTTAGCTGTTCAATATTCGTTCTTTTTGTGAAAGTGACTTGAAAAATGTGGCTGCCTACTTCTTCACTCTTCACCTAGGCCGCCAAACTTTGAGCGTTTTTGTCAAAAATCCACAGCAAATTGTCTTCACTCACCTACCCCTTTTGTATATGCCAAACTTTGAGCGTTTTTGTCAAAAATCCACAGCAAATTGTCTTCACTCACCTACCCCTTTTGTATATTTTATTATTTTCTTATGCACAGCAAATTGTCTTCACTCACCTACCCCTTTTGTATATTTTATTATTTTCTTATGACTATATAAGGGAGTCATAAGGGGGATGAGGGGAGAGGGTTTAAGGCATCAGTCGGAGAAAAAGAAAATAGAGAGAGAAGAGAGTGAGATAGAAAGTTTTTTGTCCCTTTCTTTGTGAGAGTCTCTGGTTAGAGAGTGGTCTCCTCTTTTGTATTCTTTTCTTTTGGTGATTAGTGAATTTCTCTGCTGTTCTCGCCCGTGGACGTAGGTCATACTGACCGAACTATGTTAAATCCTGGTGTGCTGTTTTCTATTTGTCCACTCTTATATAGACATCTTTTGTGTCTGTGAAGCCCCTCCGCTGCAACAAACTGATATCAGAACCTGTTTAGAGTACGTGTATCTGCTTATCGTATGCTCTGTGGCTGGCCCTTGTTTAGAGTACGTGTATCTGCTTATCGTATGCTCTGTGGCTGCCACTAAAAGTGGATCATTCACATCATAAAATAAGCTAGATTATCATTTACTCTTTAAAGGCATTGGATACTATTCACGTGTACGGAATTATTCAAAAATACTATTACTATTCATACGTACGGTCACTATTCATACGTACGGTTACTGTTCGCAAATACGGTTACTGTTCATAAATACAGTTACTGTTCCAATTAGCTTCAAGATGTCTTCTACGAAGTACAAAGTGAAGAAATTCGATGGGAAAAACAGCTTCAGTTTGTGGAGAGTAAAAATGAGGGCTCTCCTAGTACAACAAGGACTGTTCAAGGTCTTGTCCGGAAAGGATAAGTTACCGGAATCTATGCCCGATGATGAGAAAGAAGAGCTGGAGATGAAGGCGCATAGTGTCATACAGCTCTGTTTGGCCGATGAGGTCCTGCGGGAGGTTGCCGATGAAGATACCGCCGCCGGCTTGTGACTAAAGTTAGAGAGCTTATACATGACAAAATCTCTGACGAACAAGCTTTATTTGAAGCAACGCCTCTTCACCTTTCGCATGAAGGAAGGTATGCGAATTAAAGACCACTTAGATGAACTTAACACTATTCTTATGGATTTAAAGAATATTGATGTTAAAATTGACGAAGAAGATCAAGCACTCATTTTGTTATGTTCATTACCTCATTCCTATGAAAATTTTGTCAATAACATGTTATACGGTAGAGATACACTTTCCTTGGAGGATGTCAAATCAGCCTTACATTCAAAAGAGTTAAGACAGAAAGTGTCTGTCGTAGGAGAGGATCAAACTGAAGGCTTGTTCGCTCGTGGTCGTCCTGAAAAGGGAGTTGGTGGTAGAGGCAAATCTAGAAATATGTCTAGATCAAAGTCCAGGCCAAGAAGAAATGTTGAATGTTATTACTGTCATAAATATGGGCATATAAAACCTAATTGTCCAGCGCTCAAAACAAAGGATAATTCACAGTCAAAGTCTGGGGAGGTGAAACCTTCAGTTGCCACTGTAACTGAAGAGTCTTCTAGTTCACATGAAGTTCTTTCAGTTAGTGTTAATACTCATTCACAAAATGAGTGGGTTCTTGATTCGGGTTGTTCCTACCATATGTGTCCGCATAGGAATTGGTTTGTCACATATCAGTCTATCGATGGTGGGAATATCTTGTTGGGAAATAACATGCCTTGCAAGACTGTTGGTATCGGATCAATTAAGATTAGAACCCATGATGGTATTGTTAGAACATTAAGCAATGTCCGTCATATTCCAGAGTTAAAGAAGAACCTCATTTCTTTAGGCACCCTTGACTCAAATGGTTTTAAGTTTTCGGCTGAAGGTGGAGTTTTGAGAGTTAGTAAAGGCTCTCTTGTTGTGATGAAAGGAAAGAAGGTAAATACCCTCTATATCCTTGAAGGCAGTACAGTGACAAGTGCTGCAGCAGTGTCATCCTCAGAGGATTCAGATTCAGACACTACACATTTGTGGCATATACGGTTAGGGCATATGAGTGAGAGAGGATTGGATATATTGAGCAAACAAGGTCTGCTTTGTGGTCAGAAAACCAGCAAATTAGACTTTTGTGAACATTGTGTTTTCGACAAACATCATAGAGTATCCTTTAGTACCGGTGTCCATAAAACCAAGGGTACTTTAGATTATATCCATTCAGATGTTAGGGTCCCTCTCAGGTTCCATCGAAAGGTGGAGCTCGTTTTCTGCTAACATTGATTGGTGATTATTCCAGAAAAGTTTGGGTGTATCCTTTGAAGCATAAAAGTGATGTGTTTGCAACCTTCAAGCAATGGAAGGTTATGATTGAGAAGCAAACAGGAAAAAAAGTGAAGCGCCTCAGAACCGACAATGGGATGGAGTTTTGTTCCACAGAGTTTGACCAGTTCTACAAAAATGAAGGTATTGTACGTCATCGTACAGTTCGGCATACACCACAGCAAAATAGAGTTGCAGAAAGGATGAACAGAACACTTTTAGAAAATAGAGTTGCAGAAAGGATGAACAGAACACTTTTAGAGAGAGCTCGGTGCATGCTCTCTAATGCCGATTTGTCAAAAGACTTATGAACAGAACACTTTTAGAGAGAGCTCGGTGCATGCTCTCTAATGCCGATTTGTCAAAAGACTTTTGGACCAAGGCAGTCAATACAACTTGCTATTTAATAAACAGATCTCCTTCTACAGCAATTGATTTCAAGACTCCAGAAGAGGTATGGTCTGGTGTCCCTGCTAATTACTTTTATTTAAGAGTATTTGGTTGCTCTGCTTATTTTCATGTTAATGATGGTAAGCTTGCACCTAGAACAAAGAAAGCTATCTTTCTAGGATATGCTACTGGGGTAAAGGATATAGATTGTGGTGTTGGAGGGGCTTCACAGACACAGAAGATGTCTATACAAGAGTGGACAAATAGAAAACAGCACACCAGGATTTAACGTGGTTCGGTCAGTATGACCTACGTCCACGGACGAGAACAACAGAGAAATTCACTAATCACCAAAAGAGAAGAATACAAAAGAGGGGATCACTCTCTAACCAGAGACTCTCACAAAGAAAGGGACAAAAAACTTTCTATCTCACTCTCTTCTCTCTCTATTTTCTTTTTCTCCGACTGATATCTTAAACCCGCTCCCCTCATCCCCCTTATATAGTCATAAGAAACTAATAAAATATACAAAAAGGGTAGGTGAGTGAAGACAATTTGCTGTGGATTTTTGACAAAAACGCTCAAAGTTTGGCAGCCTAGGTGAAGAGTGAAGAAGTAGGCAGCCGCATTTTTCAAGTCACTTTCACAAATCTCCACCTTAACTTGAAATGAATCTCTTAACTCTTGTTGTCTCGTCAGAAGCCCCTTACGGGCTTAATCTCCGTTTTATTGAACTCCAAGCAATTCGAGACAATGCTCGAACTTGCGCGAAGGTACGGGCTTCGTCATCATATCTGCTGGATTATTTGCAGTACTAATCTTCTCAATCCTGATGACTTTAATTTCTCTGATGAAATGATACCTGACATCTATATATTTGGTTCTTTCATGATACATCTGATGTTTCGTCAAATGTATAGCACTCTGGCTGCCACAAAATACCGTAGTAACACCTTGGTGTAAGCCGAGATCTTCAACCAAACCTCTCAACCAAATAGCTTCTTTCACTGCTTCTGTCACTGTCATATACTCTGCCTCTGTGGTAGACAAAGCAACTGTTGACTGTAGAGTCACCTTCCAACTAATGGTACTACCTGAAAGAGTGAATATATAACCTGTCAAGGATCGTCTCTTATCCAAATCGCCCGCATAATCTGAATCAGAATAGTCAAGTATTCTGCAATCTGAGTATGTGTTCCTGCCAAAATACAAACAAATATTAGCATATCCTCTCAAATATCTAAGTATCTATTTCACAGCCTGCCAATGAACCTTTCCAGGCTTATTCATGTACCGACTCACAACACTGACTGCATGTGAAATATCTGGACGGGTGCAAACCATCGCATACATAATGCCTCCAACTGCACTCGCATAAGGAACACAAGACATGTACTGCTCTTCCTCAGTCTGAAGTGACAAATCTGCTGAAAGACGAAAATGAGCGGCAAGCGGAGTTTTCACAGGCTTGGCATCAAGCATGCCAAATCTCTCTAACACCTTCTTGATGTATTTCTCCTGAGATAGGAATAAATTTCCTTCTCGCCTGTTTCTGTGGATCTTCATCCCTAAAATCTTCTTTGCTGCTCCCAAGTCCTTCATCTCAAACTCATATTTGAGTTGAGATTTCAACTCATTGATTTCTGACATATCTTTAGTTGCAATCAACATGTCATCAACATACAAAAGCAAATATACAAAAGAATCATCATTGAGCTTTTTATGATAAACACAACTATCATATTTACTCCTAGAGTAACCATGCTCAATCATGAAAGTATCAAATCTCAAATACCACTGCCTCGGAGACTGTTTCAACCCATAAAGAGATTTCTTCAACCTGCACACATGATCTTCTTTACCTTCAATAATGAAACCCATTGGTTGATGCATAAAAATCTGTTCCTCAAGCTCGCCATGTAGAAAAGCTGTCTTCACATCAAGTTGCTCAAGCTCCAAATTAAAATAAGCAACCATGACAAGCAACACGCGGATTGAGGTGTGTTTTATAACTGGAGAGAATACTTCATTGAAGTCCACACCTTCGGTCTGACTGTAGCCTTTAGCTACCAAACGTGCCTTGTACCTTACAGAATCTGTATCCGGAGCTCCTTCTTTCTTCTTGAAGACACATTTACAGCCAACGATCTTCTGTCCCCTTGGTGGCTTCACTAGCTCCCATGTCTGGCTCTTATGAAGAGACTCCATCTCTTCAGTCATTACAACAGCCCAATTTGCAGCATCATTGCCACTAATAGCCTCCTTGTATGTAGAAGGCTCTGAAACCTCAATCGATTCTGCTACACTCAAAGCATAAGCAAGCATGTATGTATAGCGTTGAGGCGGTCGGATCTTTTGTTTTGTTCTCCCGGTGACAATATTATACTGTTGCTCTTGCGGTGTATCAGCATCTGAAGTTGAACATTTCTCAGTATCAACTGGTTCAACATGAGCGCCCTCAAGCACTCTCTTTGAAGTTGAGCTCTCTAGCTCCACCTGCTTGGTAAACTCCTTTTGAGTACCTGTAGTGTCAATAACAAACCATTTTCTCGGGTGAAGCATGGATTTTTCATCAAAAGTAACATCCCTCCTAATAATAAATTTAGGTGACTTAGAATCAGAATACCACAATCTATATCCCTTCACCCCAGTAGCATATCCTAGAAAGATAGCTTTCTTTGCTCTAGGTTCAAGCTTACCATCATTAATATGAAAATAAGCAGAGCAACCAAATACTCTTAAATAAAAGTAATTAGCAGGGACACCAGACCATACCTCTTCTGGAGTCTTGAAATCAATTACTATAGAAGGAGATCTGTTTATTAAATAGCAAGTTGTATTGACTGCCTCGGCCCAAAAGTCTTTTGACAAATCGGCATTAGAGAGCATGCACCGAGCTCTCTCTAAAAGTGTTCTGTTCATCCTTTCTGCAACTCTATTTTGCTGTGGTGTATGCCGAACTGTACGATGACGCACAATACCTTCATTTTTGCAGAACTGGTCAAACTCTGTGGAACAAAACTCCATCCCACTGTCGGTTCTGAGGCGCTTCACTTTCTTTCCTGTTTGCTTCTCAATCATAACCTTCCATTGCTTGAAGGTTGCAAACACATCACTCTTATACTTCAAAAAATACACCTAAATTTTTTAGAATAATCATCAATCATTGTTAGCAGAAATCAAGCTCCACCTTTCAAGGGACCCTAACATCTGAATGGATATAATCTAAAGTACCCTTGGTTTTATGGACACCGGTACTAAAGGATACTCTATGATGTTTGTCGAAAACACAATGTTCACAAAAGTCTAATTTGCTGGTTTTCTGACCACAAAGCAGACCTTGTTTGCTCAATATATCCAATCCTCTCTCACTCATATGCTCTAACCGTATATGCCACAAATGTGTAGTGTCTGAATCTGAATCCTCTGAGGATGACACTGTTGCAGCACCTGTCACTGTACTGCCTTCAAGGATATAGAGGGTATTTACCTTCTTTCCTTTCATCACAACAAGAGAGCCTTTACTAACTCTCAAAACTCCACCTTCAGCCGAAAACTTAAAACCATTTGAGTCAAGGGTGCCTAAAGAAATGAGGTTCTTCTTTAACTCTGGAATATGATGGACATTGTTTAATGTTCTAACAATACCATCATGGGTTCTAATCTTAATTGATCTGATACCAACAGTCTTGCAAGGCATGTTATTTCCCAACAAGACATTCCCACCATCGATAGACTGATATGTGACAAACCAATTCCTATGCGGACACATATGGTAGGAACAACCCGAATCAAGAACCCACTCATTTTGTGAATGAGTATTAACACTAACTGAAAGAACTTCATGTGAACTAGAAGACTCTTCAGTTACAGTGGCAACTGAAGGTTTTACCTCTCCAGACTTCGACTGTGAATTATCATTTGCTTTGAGCGTTGGACAATTAGGTTTTATATGCCCATATTTATGACAGTGATAACATTCAATATTTTTTCTTGGCCTGGACTTTGATCTAGACATGTTTCTAGATTTGCCTCTACCACCAACACCCTTTTCAGGACGACCACGAGCGAACAAGCCTTCAGCGCAAGTTCGAGCATTGTCTAGACACACTTCACTTTAATTTCTCTGTTGAAATGATATGATGACGAAGCCCGTACATTCGCGCAAGTTCGAGCATTGTCTCGAATTGCTTGGAGTTCAACAAAGCGGAGATTAAGCCCGTAAGGGGCTTCTGGCGAGACAGCAAGAGTTAAGAGATTCATTTTCAAATCAAGGTGGAGATTTGTGAAAGTGACTTGAAAAATGCGGCTGCCTACTTCTTCACTCTTCACCTAGGTTGCCAAACTTTGAGCGTTTTTGTCAAAAATCCACAGCAAATTGTCTTCACTCACCTACCCCTTTTGTATATTTTATTATTTTCTTATGACTATATAAGGGGGGTGAGGGGAGAGGGTTTAAGGCATCAGTCGGAGAAAAAGAAAATAGAGAGAGAAGAGAGTGAGATAGAAAGTTTTTTGTCCCTTTCTTTGTGAGAGTCTCTGGTTAGAGAGTGGTCTCCTCTTTTGTATTCTTCTCTTTTGGTGATTAGTGAATTTCTCTGCTGTTCTCGCCCGTGGACGTAGGTCATACTGACCGAACCACGTTAAATCCTGGTGTGCTGTTTTCTATTTGTCCACTCTTGTATAGACATCTTCTGTGTCTGTGAAGCCGCTCCGCTGCAACACTTTTCATAAGGAAAGCCGAAAGACATCTTAGTTTAAAAAGAAAATATAGGGTTCTATTGACGGATGAGCTAAATGATATATGTAAAAGGGTTCAACAACCCATGACACTTGGTCGCTACCTTACTGCCAAATTCCTACTATGTCCATTTAAAACATAGTTGGCAAATAAAAATGTAACGTGTTCTCATCATGCGTCCTAATGCTGAAAAGAGTACCAAAATGAAATCATATTTTCTATGTATCAGAAAATGCTATGTACCCTTGAATTAGATGCACCATGTATGTTAATGACCAAAAAGTGAGAGATATTATTGATTGAAAGGTTTAAAAAAAACTTACATAGAACTTGATGGGCTGTTAATCGGTCACAAGGACGTGAACAAAGCATCTTTTTGATGAGGTCTTTTGCACTGTCAGAGATCAACGGCCAGGGATCAGATTTAAAATCAATGACTCCCTTAAGAACTGCGTCGAATATTCCTTGCTGTGTTTCTGGAAATTTGAGAACAATCAGTATCATAAATTAATTTTACCAAGTTGAATAAGTAGAAAATAAATCAGAACTATACCTGCCCAAAAAGGTGGCACGCCACTTAACAGTATGTATAATATAACCCCTGCTGTCCAAACATCAGCTTCTGGACCATAGTGTTTGCACAACACCTCTGGAGCAACATAATATGGGCTTCCAACAACATCTGTGAAAATCTGACCTGAAATTGAACGCAACAAAACTGCTAAGCCACAAGAATAAAGAACTAACGAAGTTCTCAAATAGTTAATCAAGAGAAAGTGAATTGTCAACATCTTCAAATGATTGAAACAAGCAAGAACTGTGAGCTAACAACTTCATAACTTCCATAGTTGAGAACAACATCAACATACAAACAGCCATCAAATCTAAAAGAGTAGACATATAAAAATTTAAGCTTATTTTCACTAGTTATCTTTAAGAAACCAGTAATATTTTCATCATTTAAGAAGTGTGTAAACATGTACATGCTGCCATACATGCAAGTCAGGAAACACATGCTTAAATGATGGAACAGTTGTGGCCGTTTTGTGCATTTTCTTAAAAGTTGATTGTAAATCATGTTATGATCTCTATTGTTCTCTGTATCAATTTGGTTGATAAATGAACAGCACATAACTAATGTGAGAATATCATATACTCAAAACAATCAGAGAATACCATATCATAATAAACTAACCACATGTATACAGATGATCTTTTTCAGTTAGTATATTAGTTGAATTTCATGGTCACACATCCAACAAATACTAGTTATAGTAGGACAACCATATAAGTAATGTAGTAGCAACAATTCCTAATGAACAGTTAAGTGGTAAATGATTGTTTAGCAGCAGGGCTTGACAAGACTAAACCCATCCTCTATCGTTTGAAGACTAAAGGCTGTGCAACAAGGCTCTTAGTCTTTAAAAGAATCTGAATCTCTCTCTTTCTCACCTTTTATAAAACCCATCCTCTATCATTTTATTTCATTATCTGTAGTGAATAGTTAAGTTAATTAGAAATGCCGCCGGTGAGAGGAAGTAACTTAACCAGCGAAGAAGAGCACCGCGATGTGCACGTCTTTATAGCACCATCAACTGCCAAAGCATTCACATCAATGTGAGCTTCTCTGCCAGTAACGTTACCTCCTCTCGCCGATGACATTTCTAATTAACTTAAATATTCAATGCAGATAATGAAATAAAAAGATAGGATGGGTTTTATAGGAGATAAGGGGATTTGAAAGATCACAGGAGGTCACGAGAGTCGAGAGAGGAAGAGAGAGCAATTGAAATCATTTTCCACAAATTCATTAAATTTGACTTTCCATCTTAACTAACTTACTAGGATGAGTAGTGTTAACTGTACACACGACTTATACTACTGTTCTACTCCTACACACAAAAAAGTGTAGGCTTACTTTAAAAAAGTTTGCACAGCCTTTAGTCAACCGTTATCTTGGGGAAAGGATCAGCTAGTAAATTCTCTCTCTACACCCTCAAAGAACGAACAACCATCTACTACTTCAGTCCCAAACCACCTTTCCAGTTTCTAGTCTTTCCTAGAGCACAGAACCTTAATCTTGGCAAAAGATCAGCTAATAAATTCTTTCTCAATGAACCATTACCCGCTACTGCCTTCCCAAAGTAGCTTTCCAATTTCTTCTCTTTTCTCTCTCTGGCTGCTATCTGTCTATTTCTCTACACCTCAATGACCCTTAAAAAAAGGTAACTATTATGATCAACTAGACGTAGAATTTTACCTGGCTTAAAGAACACAGAGAGTCCAAAATCAATCGCTTTCAGCGACAAATCATTATCTCTATTAACCAGCAAAAAATTCTCCGGCTTCAGATCCCTGTGCATAACACCAAGAGAATGGCATGCCTCCACAACCCCAACAATGATCCTCGTCAGCTCCGCCGCCTTCCTCTCACTATAATGCCCCCTCTGAATAATCCTATCAAACAACTCACCGCCGCCACACAACTCCATCACAATATGAACGTAGAGTGGATCCTCATAAGCCCCTTTGATCTGAACAACATGCTTATGCCCCGAAAGATGGTGCATTATCTGAATCTCTCTTCTCACATCCTCAACATCCTCTTTGGAGATTAGCTTCCTCTTGGATATAGACTTGCAAGCATACTCAACGCCGGTGGTGATCTCCGTCGCAAGGTAAGTGGTGCCAAACTGGCCCTGGCCGAGCTTGCGACCGAGAGTGTAGAGGTCTCGGATATTGGGGGTTCTGTGGCCCAGAATGGAGATGAACTGGGGGTCCATGAGGCCTCGTCTCATCGTTGTGGTGATGGGTTTCGGGGGAATGACCTCGGGGACTTCGGATACAGCGGAGACTGCGCTGCTGGTGGAGCGAGAGGAGGAGCGGGTGGACGTGTTGTTAGAGAAAGAGGGGTGGGTGGGCTGAGAGAAGCCTTGAACGTATTTGGTGTCAAATGAGCCTCGGCATGTGTTGCCCATGAAACAAGAAGGAGCACGCTTAAGAGCTGAGCATTGATAAAGAGGTGAAAACCCCTAATTAAGAATCTTTTTTGAATCAGGGGTAATGAGAATAATCCCTTGAAGAAGAATATCCCAAGAGATCCCTTTTCAGAAGCTGACATGAGATAGAGACACCAAATTATCAACAATCAGTGCATGTTAATGCTAAATCTAGGAGGACTGCAATAGTAAAAATGTTATAATAGAATTTGACAAATAAAAAAAAATCAAATTTTGAAGAAATTAGAAGGACAAGGAGAGGTGTTAGAACTTAGCGTTGCTAAAAAAAAAAGAGACAACTTTTGAAGAAGTAGACCCCTCAACTGAATCCGATCTCCAATTAGGACATTTATCGCATCAAAATATTAATAAAAAATAAGTTTTAAATTGATAATGAGTAATCAAATAACCGACGCCTCTAGCAGCTAAATCAAACATGCGAAAATTTCAAAATTCTCTTAAAAATTAAAATCCGAAAGCCAACAGCTCGCAAAACCTACTAGCTCATCGTGGGGAGGAAAAAAACAAGGGAGGAGGAACTTCTGCTAAATTCCTTAACTCGAAAGCTTATTCTTTGAGAATTATAATTACGAAACACGCAAAATTGCGGGAAATTAAAAAAAGCTAACAAGATTTAAAGAATTAAAATAATAAAAAATAATTAAGCTGCTTACATGAATCAGATCCCGAATTTGATCCAGAGGATTGACCAAGAAACCAGAGAGGAGATCAATTTGAAGAAAAAGAAGAGATCCTTCGTGTCACTTTCACGATTGCTCTCAAAAGAGAGGAGTCATTTCAAATCTACAATAAATTATTTAATTTAACAAAATTTTAGAATTTTCCGAATTTTTTTACAGATTGTAATGAAGAAGAGAGGGGGAGAGCAAAGGTAGCGAAAAAAAAACGCGGTTTGCGGGAAAAAATAAAAATAAAAATTTTGTTTATATAGAAAATTTGATATTCTCACCCAACATAAACTGAGTCTTGCCGACCACTGAACTTGCTAAGCCTTCCCTGTTTTACGTTCAGTGCGCGTTAAATAAGTGTCAAGATAACAAATTCTTTGACTTTGATTAATTATGTAATGCATAGCTAATAAATAACTAGCTCCTTAATTAAATAATAATGGCACTGTTGTCAGTGGACAAAAATTGATGATGATGAAAGAAGAGGGTAATGATCTCATCAAACAAGCTAATGCCTCGAGTTGGTATAATATCTCGTAAGGGGCTATTCGATTGGTTTTTTTTTGTTTGGGTTTCCCTGTCAAAACTGAAAAAGCTGTCAGTTTTGACAGTTTTACTTACAAAAACGTCCAAAAACGCTCATTTGGAACGTTTTTGCAAGTAAAATTGCCAAAACTGACAGGAAAACAAGGGCAAAAAATGCCAACCAAACAGCCCATAAGCTACTAAGAGCAAGAAAGGATCTTTTTATATAAACAAAAATAGCGTGTGTTTAGTTAGCTAGAAGATTCTCAATACACAAAGCATAAAGATTATAGGATATTTTGAAGTTATATCGTTATTTAGTGTTAAAATATAAAAATAGGGTTTTTCTATAGAGTGCCCATAGGTATTCTATAGAAGAGGAGAGAGATAGAGAGAGATGATTGAGGAGGGGGCCCACCTGATTTGCATTGGGATCCCCTCTCCAATCATCTCTCTTTATCTCTCTTCTCTCTTATAGAGTGTCCATTGACACTATAGAAAAACCCATAAAAATATTACACCCAATTCCTTACAAAACTTTAAATTCTCTGTGTAGTGGCACAGGCTTCAAAATGATATCATAATAACACATGTCACTGACCATTAATTTAAAGCAAATTTTTTAAAAGTTAGTACTTGTAATTAATAAAAGACGCGCAACCTGCAACTATGAAAGATTTAGGGAGTATATAGCCAAATAAGTTTTATAAATAAAAAGAGCGACTAGTTCTCTTGTAAACAAATGTAAGCATATTCCAACAAAAAACAAAAACAGCTTTCGTCCGACAAAAACTACCTCCAGAGAGCATTGTTGCACGTGATTAATCAAACTATAAAGCTAATTTGGTAAGCTAACATGATTTCATGTGTTAATGAAGAGACTAAATGTGTGTAGCTTCAAAGAATGCTCCGTTGGAGTATAATATATTATTATGAAACCTGGCTGCTTTCCTTTGTCCAAGTCCTATGAATGTGGAGTAATTTACCGATGTATTTGGGTCCACTGCCAGCTAGATCAACTATACTTAAAAAATTATAGGAAAAGGGCAACACCAACTTTTAAAATTCTTTGTATTTCTTAAAAAGATAATAGAAAAAGTTTTAAGAAATAAAAAAGTACAAATTTTTTTATTTTTTGTACTTCACTTGTTTGGTTCAAAATAAGAAAATGGGCTCATAATTTATAGAAATAGCAACTTTTCCTTTTCTTTTGTTTGGTTACATATGCCAAATTTATAAAAAAAATGGCAACTATCATATTTATCACTTTATAACGGCTATTTTAACGGCTAATTTCACATTATCAAATCTTATAAAATTATTCTATCCTCAACTATCCTTGAACACAATTTTTTCATATTTTTCACAATTTGGCTCGGGTATTGGTCTTTTATCAAAATTGATTGTCTCAACTAAAACGTACAAGTTCACATAGATTGCGTTCTAATAACGTAGTAAAGAACGCTTTATCTTATTATGAACATTGTAAATTAGTTTGCAATCTTATTTAGTTGACCATCATCATCACCAAAAGCTCAATCTGAGCTCCAAACAGAACGAAAACACCACCAAGTCGAAATCCGAACAATATATGTGAATATAGAGCTAAACAAGCTCTAAGCAGCATAGTAATAAAAAAACAGCCCCAACAGCTTGATTGGGTGAACAAATATCAACCAAAAAAGCCAACAATAGAGAGCTAAACAAACTTGAATCAGCATAGTAACTGGAAAAACAGACCCAAAGCTCGACAACAAGCACAAATATCAACAAAAAACCCAACAATAGAGAGCTAAACAAACTCGAATCAGCATAGAAACTGAAAAACCCACCCTAACAGCTCGACAACGAGCACAAATATCAACAAAAAACCCAACAATATAGAGTTAAAAAAAACTCGAATCATCATAGTAATAATAAGACAGCCCTAATAGCTCAACAACAACCAAAAAACAACCAAAAACCCAACAATAGAGAGCTAAACAAGCTCGAATCAGCATAGTAACTGAAAAATAGCCCCAAAGCTCGACAACGAGCACAAATATCAACCAAAAAACCCAACAATAGAGAGATATACAAACTCGAATCAGCATAGTAACTGGAAAAATAGCCCCAACACCTCGACAATGAGCACAAATATCAACAAAAAACCCAACAAATAGAGAGCTAAACAAGCTCAAATCAGCATAGTAACTGAAAAAACAACCCCAACAGCTCGACAATGAGCACAAATATCAACCAAAAACTCAACATTAGAGAGCTAAACAAGTTCGAATCAGCATAGTAACTAGAAAAATAAACCCAACAACTCGACAACGAGCACAAATATCAACCAAAAACCCAACAATATAGAGCTAAACAAGCTCGAATCATCATAGTAACAATAAGGAGCCCTCACAGCTCGACAACAACCAAAAAACAACCAAAACCTCAACAATTGAGAGATAAAAAGCTCAAATCAGCATAGTAACTAGAAAAACAGCCCTAAAGCTCGACAACGAGCACAAATATCAACCAAAAAAGCCAATAATATAGAGCTAAACAAGCTCGAATCAGCATAGTAACTGGAAAAACAACCCTAACAGCTCGATAACGAGCACAAATATCAACCAAAAAATCCAATAATAGAGAGCTAAACAAGCTCGAATCAGCATAGTAACTAGAAAAATAGCCCCAACAGCTCGACAATGAGCACAAATATCAACCAAAAAATCCAACATTAGAGAGCTAAACAAGTCGAATCAGCATAGTAACTGGAAAAATAGCCCCGACAGCTTGATAACAACCAAGAATACTTATTAGGGCTCAGGATAAAAATATATTTATCATAAAAGATTGTCTCGCCTATCAATTTTATGGTGAAATGCAGGCTGCTATTTTGATGGATTGCCTCACCCAAACATTTAAAAATTAATAGGGTTGCATTCCATACAAAATTGCCTCATCTAAACAATACACAATAAATATAGGCTGCATTCTCAGTTTATTATCATCATCATTGCCCATCCAAAAAAAATTAATGAAAAGAGCCCATACCATGCTTGATTACCAAAATATGTCATCTGTCATTAAGCTCAAACTGAGCATTTTATAGCACAAGAAGCCAATAATCATTAGCTTAATCTAAGCCAATAATCAGGTCATCGGAAGGAATGTGTTGGATAGGAGAAGGGGTTTGATCCGGTAGCATTCTAACTTGGTTGTCTATCTGTTTTCCTGATCTCAAAGTGTGAACTGCATTCACATGGGCTAGTTGGGATGAACTGGATCCATTGTCTTTAGAGTTTTCGACAGGTTGACTTAGGAATTTTTCTTTCTCTCTTTCGCTCACGGCAGTGGCTAGTTGCCCAAGTTGGGTTTCTAACCGAGCTATGGCTTGAGTGTTCGAGTTGAACACTTGGCCAGTTGTTTGCATAAAGGAATTTAGAGTAGTGGATGACTGGGTCAACATGTTGGTAGTTTGTGTAGAAGCTTTGATCATAACTTCTAAACCCTTTTCTAAGACACTCAGATGTTTGTCATGATCAGAATTTGAAGGATTTGTAGGCTGGTGAGGATGAGGATGTTGGGTTGGAAAAGCTGGGTTAGCTTGTTGGAAATTATTTGGTGCGTTGAACGGAAGTGTATTTCCCCTAGGGAATTGTGGGTTCGACGTGAATGAAGTTTTGATTTCCAGGAGAATTTCCTTGATTTCATGCAAAGTTGGGATGATTTCTCCAACCGGGATTGTAGGTTGAAGAAAATGGATCATTTCTAGGACGCTGAATGTATCGTTCATCTATTCTAATGCGTTGTTGTTTCCTAGGAGAGGACATTCCTCTGAAACGTGGGTAGGAGACTTACAATTATGACATCCCGGGGCAGAAACATGATTGATTTGAGCTGGAGCTTGTTCCTTAATTTCTAAGGCTTTTAACCTCCGCAGAATCATCGTCATCTTTGCTTCAGAAGCAATGTTTGACTCCAGGGAAAGACCACTAGACTTAGATTAGGGAACTGATGAAACCCTGTCATCACAGTGTTCCCACTGTATTGTTTTCTTAGATAGACTCTCTAGAAATTCCCAAGCTTCATCAGCGTTTTTCCTTTTAAAATCTCCCTGACACATCGATTCTAAAGATGTTTTTGAAGAATAGTCCAATCCTTCATATATGACTTGGCATAATCACCATTTCTCGAGACCATGATGAGGACATTAGATCAGAAGATCTTTAAATCAATCAAAATATTTCCGAAATAGCTCCCCTGGGATAATTTTGAAGTTTTGAATGTTGTTCCTAAGCTTTACCGTTTTATGAATTGAGAATTTTTTTTTGAGAAAAACGGTGGCAAATTCCTCCCAAGTTGAGACGGAATTTATCGGTAAGCTGTATAACCATTTTTAGCTTTGTCCTTGAGAGAAAATAGAATAAATCTGAGTTTGATAGCATCTTGGGAATCTAAAAAATCTGCACGTGTAGAAATTCATGAGGGGACGGGGTTTGGTTCCTCCATTGTAACTCAGACGATCAAGTTAGCTGGTGAACTTGAGTGGGGTAAATAAAAACTGTGAGAGTTCTTGTGTGTGTGGTATGATTTGCAAATTTAGAGAATTTTGATCAGAATCCAGAATCCAACCCCCAGCCCAAATTGAAATAGTACTTTTATTTATACTAAAGTTGCAAGGGTAGATTGGTCATTTCGAC